AAAAAAAAACTTGCCTGTCTGTTGTTTTAATCAATTCGCTGATCATTGCTTCAAAGCAAGGTGAAAGAGCGTAAGTTTCGGGCTGTCCCGAGCTATCGGTTCCTTGGCTACAAGCCATATCATATGCGGCTTTCACAAGGGCTACCAGGGCCTAGAACAGTTTGGTAGCGTTTCTTTAGAACCCGTAGTAGCGGGAAAGAATTACCCAGCAAACATTCGCAGCAACTCTGGGTTCTTGATGAAGCGCTTGACTAAGTGAGGGAAGTAGACGTGCCAGCATACCATCTTTGTTTACTACTTCTGGGCAGATTTCTAGTACACGCCCAATTGTCCATGCACAGGTATCACGTATGGTAACCTGGAGATATTTTTGACCTCTCTCATCAAAAACAAAGTTAGGCGCACATGCTGAGCAAAAAAAGGAAATTGTACAGATGGCTGGCAGGTAGATACCTCGCCGCAAAAATTACAATAAGACGAATGAGAATTTTTTGGAAGAGAACGACGAATTTTCTCTTTCTACTTTGACAAAAAATATGCTGGAAAGTGGGCAGAAAGCTCAAATAGTTCTTCAAATATTCAATGATTATTTGAATCAGCTGTTTTTCAAATGTAATTCACAAAATTCTTAAGGTTTCTAAAATTACACTCTAACAATATCGACGCACATTCTTCTCTGCCATGCTCTCTATAAGAGCCGGCATCGCTTGCTCGACGAGACCCATCAACTTGTTTGGATCAGGACCATCAAGTATGCTCCCAAATGCCATAATAGCAGCTTCCTAGAAGTTGGTAGTAAACAATGGGTGCATTATCCACCTTCTGCTAGAGTTCGAACTGCTCACTTTATATTTCCAATTATTACTACTGAAATGCTTCAAAAACGGCATGACAGGATCGAGAATGGTGTCGCCCACACACTGTGCCATTAACATAATACAAACACCTGCAGCTTTTGATGGAGTCCAATCATCGTCGTCGTCGTTTTCATCTAAAGAGCATTTAGAAGATAAATAAAGTAGAAAATAGAAATGCACAGTATAAATTCAAAAACCTTGGTGGGTGAGAATCTCAAGCATAATGGGGCAAATATGGGGAACAGCTCCTTTGGCGTAATGTCTTGATACTTGTTCCGGAACACGATTATTCTCAGCTGCCTACAAACAATACGCAAACAGACTGAACCTATAACAAAGAAAAGAAGTGAACATGATCAGACTTTACTGAGCCTACAGAAAGAATGATTAGAGATGGAAAAATGAGTTTAAGAAGTCCTCCTCAAACTGTGGCGCCAAGCTTTATATGACTACATGTTCCAACAATTTCTACTGTCTTATGAGTAAAAATACCGAATCCTTAAAAACAGTATCCACACAAAACTAAGGATTTTAAGTTCACATCAGTTTATGATAGCGACTCTCTCACTACTAATTCGCCGTGGTAAGCAAGAAAACGCTCCGGATGTTTAGGTCACTGCGCACATTCAGCGATTCCCCGCTCAGCATCGACCGTATTTGCCTCTCATCAGCAGTATCACCTAGCGAGGAAGGCATGCAATCGTTACGAGAATATGATTTGATATCGCGCCAACTCTTCCGCCCTCCCAAAAAGAACCTAGAATGTAAATGCCCTCCTATCTTGAACTTGGGCATACTTGTTGTGCCATGACAGGTAGTTAATAGAAACTTTTACTAATGCCTTACATTTCGTCGTAACGCAGCGTCCACAGAGCC